TATCAAATCCCAAATCTTGAGTTGAAATGCTAACTTTCTCTGTTTCCAATATTTTAATACATTTCCAGATCTGCAACATTTGTGGTCCACACAGGCAATCAAAACTTTGATTAGATTGAGAACCACCTGATAAAAATAACGAACACATGGGCACCACTTGAGTTCCCTCTTTTCGGTTAACTTTTAAAAGTAACTTTACAACAAAGTACAACAGATTTAGGAAAGAAGTAATGTAAGCATCAGATGTGAATGTACATATACATACATATGGACACATCTACATACATATATATACACAGTGATACATATGTAATTGTATTTTTAATGATAAATCGGAAAATGAAAGTCATGGGGGGGACTAGCACATATATATTCCATTTTAGATTATTAGAAATTTATAAACAAATTTCAAAATGTCTAGGCAATATAGAATTTTCTGTAATGATGGAGATTTTCTATAACTGCACTGCTGGATACAAGTAACCACTAACTACAAGTGGCTACTTAGCATTTAAAATACAGCTAATGGGGGCTGAAGAGATTATTTTTATTTTAAAAAGTGAATTTTAGATTGCATCTAATTTCAATTAACTCCAATAACAGATCTATTGCACATTGGAACACAAGGGATTGGAGAAAACCGTGTGCTCCTTGAATTATGGTTCAAACTGTAAAAAGTCTGCTAAGTGGGCACACACAGATGCTTCCGAGGCAAGATATTTTCATCATTGTTTTTAATCCTTCTGATTTATAGAAACAGGAGTTATAATACAATATTAAAATGTTCTAAATTCCTCTTCTACCATGCGATCTGAAGTTGGATGCATGCTAAAATCTAACGAGATTTTTTTTAAAAACATGGATGCTGGGGTATTACCCCAAAGATTCATGTTTAATTGGTCTGGGCATTGAGATCTTTAAAAAACTATCCTAGTGATCCCAATGTGCAGCTAGAACTTGAGAAGCACTAAACTAGGCAGAACTGTTTGAAAGGTGAAACTTCATTAGGTCTAGATGGAGTATGCAACCAAACACATCTATGCTAGCAGTTAAAGAAGGTCTTTGCCACCTGCCGCAGAGTCAAGACAAAAACCCTGGAGGGCTAAATATGGGTTATCATTCAACACATTCAGCAATGATTAGGGAATGCAGTCATGAGCTTTGGTTACGTGGGAGTGCGGTTTAATCATATGAAAGATTAGAAAGAAGGAAGCAAACTAAATATTAGTATCAACTTGTGTTTGACACTTTTACCAATACTATGTAGTTTCCTTCTCAAATACCTTGAGAAAACTATTATTACTACATTATTTACAGATAAGGAAAGTAAACTAACAATGAAGTTCTCTGGGATTTGGGCACATATTTGTCAAGACAGTAAAGTGCACATTCTTTATAGTAAAGAAGAAAAGATTTTCTCTGAGGCAGTTTGTTCCTGTAATTTTTCACATGGGGGGGTGGAGGTGTGTGAATAAAAAGCAGGATTTAGCCTTGGAACAAAAGAAAAAGAAAATTCCTTCAGAATCCTGCTTCCATTACTAAAGAGGGAGCTTCAAAATTTTGTGGAGAAATTTCTTTATCTTTTCATTCCATTTCCCATCACCTTTTTAGAGGCCCTTCCTAAGCATCATAAACACACACACACAGGAGGGTGTTACATTGTGTTTCAAATCTAGCCCCTCTACTAGGCTAACAGGAGTTGCTGCCTTCTTATGCTAAGTTAAATAACTGGTCCCTTACTGCCCCTACAAACTACTAGCTGTAGTCACACATTCTTGAGAACAGGATTGGAGAGGATAGGACAGATGTTTATTCAAGTGCCTGCCACTAAACAGAAATAGGACAAGTGATTTAAAGGTATTTTCATCTGTCCCCCCACTACTCAAACGTTTATTGGGAGTTCCTTCTCCCGTAGACCAGTAGTTTTGATGTGACACACTCAGAGTGAGAATGACATGCTTGATTTTGACTCAGATCAGTACAAAGGCTACATTAACTCACACATTAAAAGAACCTAGTTCCCTAAGTGGTTGGGCCCATTGAAAATGGAAAAAGGTTTTCAGAGAAATCATCTGAAAACAGAGCAACAGATCCTTATAGGTTCCATCAGCATTAATTATTCCATCCTGGGGTCTATCTTTTCTCCTTTCTCAAGTCTCTACCTTGTAAAGTGGCATTAACTCATGAATCATTAAAAAAGAAAAAAAGAAAAAAAAAAGTAAAATAAGAGCCCTTAGTTACATCAGGGGTCCAACTGAATACCTTCAACTCACTATTATAATTAATCGAATAGACTTTTCCCAAAACCAGGGACCCTGATGAGACATGGATAAATGCCTGCCTGTTGAACCAAAAAGTCATTGGTTCAAACCAACTAGCTGCTGCACAAGAGAAAGATGTGGCAGTCTTCATGTATAAGGATGACAGCCTTAGAAACCCTTTGGCGCAGTTCCCTCCTACAAGGTCACTATGAGAAGGAATTGACTCAATAACAGATTTGAATGGAGAAATTTGTTGGAGCTTTTCTTTAGTTTTTCTTTTCTCCCAAAACATATTACCAGGATAAGAATGTGTTGACAGGAATAATACCCAGATACATTAACTTACAGTCCTACCACTAGAGAGTATGAGGGGTACACAGGTGACGCAGGCAGAGGGACTAACATCAAAAAGCCTGTAGAATGCTTGTGCGGTGTCTTAGCAGACATTTACTTTTTATCAAAAAGCCGCTGCAGTTCATTATAACAACAAAAACAGTTTCTGTACGCCCGGCTTACAAAATTAATAGACCTAGCAAGGCTACAACTTTATGGTAATTTACTTTTTGAACTTTCTAATACATTGGGCTGCTAACTGCAAGGTCAGCAGTTCAAAACCACCAGCCACACCTGGGGACAAAGAGAAAGTTTTCTATTCTAGTAATAGCCTCAAAAACCCACAAAGGGCAATTGTACTCTGTCCTATAGGGGGTGACTGTGAGCGGGAAGTGAAAAGATAGCAGTGAGTTTGGGCTGAGTTAATGCACTGAGGTCAGAACTATCATCTATCCCCAATTACAATGACGATGACATTTCTACATACTACAAGCCTGTTCTGTTACCGTCTTTGCTCCAGGTGTTTTTAAAGTTGCTCGTTTTGTCATATGGTTTCATGTCTTAGCTAAAATACTGTAGTACTTAGTATTTGTTAATCCTGTATCAATAACGCTTTGAGAATAAAGTAGTAATTAAAAGAAAAGGAGAACCATCAAAAGGCTTTCACTCAGTTATTGAAAACATTATTAGTAATTCTGCTCAGTTACTAATAACTCAATATAGAAAGATTTTACAAAACAATTTGATTGTTAGTATTCAAGTAATCTAAGAAATGTTACATTTAAGCTATTTACAGCTATGTCACATATTGCTCTAAAATTAAAATTAATAATAAATACAACTAAGGATTCTGTGTGCTCGGAGGAAGTCCATGGGGGCTGGGGATCCAGGGTGGTGATAGCACCAGTTACTACACTGGGTGCCATCAGACCTAGGGAAGCTTAGAATGTGGTTTTGTTTCTTTCTGATTCAAAAGCAAATGGTATTAAATTATAATCTCACTTTACCACAAAATGTTTCGTAGTTTATTTTAAAATTACACATCCCAGGAAAAAGAGCAGAAGGGGAGTGGCTCAGCCTGCTTTCTCTTTTTCCCAATTCATTTAGGCTGGGCAATAAGATGAGCTGGGAAAATACACATTCACCTGATAAGAGAGGGTACAATGATCCCTCACCCAAGCCCTGAAGCTAGGCTTTAACTGGTTTTAAAAATAAAGACTAAATTCCATTCACTTACCATTTACCTAAAAAACAACTGATTAGCCTGTTTGCACCTTCATTTCCTGCATTTCAGAGGCATTGCTCCAGGGACGGTGCAGGGAGGGGAGAGGGTTTTACAGCTTTTGACTCATATAATATCAAAATCTATCCTTTAAATGGACATTATTTTTAATAAGGGGGGGGGTGTTACTTGCTACATTAGAAAACTACGTATAAGTAGTATTTTGAACCCTGAGACTCATTCTCACTATTAAAAGTCATTTCTGAAGCGATTAAGAGTCCCCTCCCCCTACACACAGGCTCACATTCTCATTAGAACAGTGTTGTCACTTAAAAAAAAAAGACATTTAGGATTGTATGAAAAGTTCATCCGTGTCCCTCCTTAACGAATTTGCTGAATCAACAGATTCATGAAATTACATGACAGAAACGTTTTCCTAGTGGCACTTAATCAAGAAATCCCTTCCATCACAGCCCCCCCCCCCACAAGTACCTGATGTGCACCAGTAGGTTTTCACCTGGGCTCTGCCAGCCCAGTCATCAAGAATTTGGGGAAATACCAACACCTGAAGTCAATGCCAATTTCATAATACAGTGAGTACCCACCCACCCCCAACCCCAACCTCCTACCCTTCAGTGAACTCTCTAGATATGAAATTAAAATCTTGCTAATTAGTCACCAGCACCCTTCATCCCACAGATCAGGTGCCCTACATTTTGTTTAGGTCCCGCCTTGAAAACAAACCCGATTGCCCTATTTTCAGAGAGGTAAACTCAACTCTAAGTAACTCCCTATGAAGTCACCGCGTGTGTTGTTTCAAAGATGCAATTAAACGAAAATGACACAAGGCCGCCGAAGACAGTCTGAAGCACTCCACCGATAATGCCAATGAAAACCGAAGTGCTCCCAGTCTACCCGAGTGAGACTATTTCTCCCCATTCGCACCCTGCCCCCGCCCCAACCCCAGCACCAAGGAGTCACATCCCACATTAATCCAACTTCCGAAGAATTTCCCGGACTTTGGTGTAACTTGTAGCTTTTCATCTTCCGGCGTTCACAGTACCATGCAATGAGGAATTGGGGGGCCGGAGGAGTAACTGGGACAGAGAAGCAAAGCAATAAAACGGCTTGCATCATGCAGTGTCTCTTCCTCCGCCCCCTCTTCCCCACGTCCTCACACTCACACATTCCTGGCGGCGGCCTCCCACCGCACCATCTCCCCCAGCGTTTACAGAAATTGGAAACAGGCGCCGGGCGTCGAGCTTTTGCACGCACCGAGCAGAGCTGAAGAGCCACGAAGGGGTGATGCCAACAACGAACTACTACCCCACAATCTCCTCCCCCCCTGGGGCTGCGAGCCCAGCCGAGCACC